TACAGGCCCTGTGTCGTTTCAGGCTAAATCAGGGTCTTTCCGGCCCTGAGTATTTTCAGCCTGAAACTGAGGGCCATTTTCAGGCCCTCATCAGTTCGACCTGCCCTGAAACTCAGGCACCAGAGTCTGGGTTTTAGCTCAGGCCATTTTTGGCCTATTTTCAAGACAACCTTTGTTTGAGCTTCAACCCCAGGGTCTGGCACGTTTTGGCATTGGCAAGAGCAGCCTCCTGGATGGGCCAGCACTATATAAGACTGGCCTGCCCTGGAGGCTGCAGGTAGGAGGGAGGCCGCTCCTAGGTACTTCCCAGGCACTTCACGTGCAGGCAGGAGGCAGTCAGTAGTCTTCAGGATTCGGCAGCAGCACTCTGGAGGGAGCGCTGCAGGAGTAGTAGTAGCGTTAGCATTAGTCTTCAGCGCTGGGCGCAGTAGGTAGCTGTAGTCTTCAGCACTGGGTGCCATAGCTAGGATAATACTAGAGAGAGAGAGAGATTGGGCGGAGGCCAGGAGTACCTACCTGCAGCGCCGTTGCTCCAGCTTCATCTTCGAGGTACCTGCAGCACAGCACCAACTTCACAGGTTAGTATCTGGCTCGTGACACAGAGAGAGTTCTTCTTCTTCCTCTTCTCAGTCCACCATCTCCCTCTCACCCTCTCATTATCTGACTTCACTGCATCAGCAGACTACGAGAGAAAAAGAGAGAGAGAGCTTGGTGACATTGGATCCAGACTCGACTTTTGGGCTTCAGACATTACGACGAGGGATTATTTGGGACTTGTGACAAAGACTTGGTGTTGACGACATTCCCATCTCTCCCCCCTCTCTTCGTCTGATCCCCTCCTCTTCGTCTGTGTATATGTCTGGACCTGGCGCTTTCTTCCTGTGTACAGCGCCAGGCTCCTTCACACCTTGTGATGGACACGATGTATGTTTGGTCTGCGTTCAAACATTGATTGGGCTAGTCATTAGCATTCTAGCATTCTGCTTCGCTATCTTATACTACGTGAATGAGGTCAGTCCCGGTCAGGTCAGGATTTGTATCGAAGTCTTCCCTGCGCTATTCAGCACCATTTTGTATGTATCAGAATGCACATTGCTTGTTGACATTCTACTTGCACTGCATTGTCCATTCAGTCCTTTTTATCACATTGCGGATCCTCGGTTTCTATGTACATCGCCCAACTGGGCATGTAACAGCTGCATTCGTGTTAGGAAAAAACAAATCGAATAGAACGCATGTCTGTTGTATTCGAATAGAAAGCAGACGGTACTGCTATTGTATGCCATGCCATGCCATGCTATGCTATGCTATGCTATGCTATGCTATGCTATGCTATGCTGTGGCATGCTATGCGGACCATTTGGACCCCCCCCAACCTACTCTTGATCCAGTCCTTGCCATGCAGACGGGGACGCCTGTGGCTGCAGCAAATCTCTGATGCCTTTTTTTTTTCCGCTGTCTGTGGAAGGATACAAATGCCACAGATGCCACCCATGAACTGTTGAAACACAGACCCGAGTTCGAATCCAGATGCAATCCGAGGAACAGAATAAGATAATTCTGGATTTCCTATGTGGGAAAAAATAAATGAATGCCACATTATTGGACCACATATGGTGACTGTGTGTGGTCTACTATTCCACCTAACAGAAGGATGAGAATGCCACGTAAAGTCTGACGCCATTTCAAAATGGGCGACACACAGATTTTTATGTTTTTGTTTTTGTTGTTTGTTGGAGGGGGAAGCCATTGACTTTATTCTATCCATCTGATTTCATCAGGATCTGACTTCTTGATCTGTTTATCAACAGTCCTATGAAAAAAAAAAAAAAAAACAGAGTCCTATGGGTACACTATTCAGCCACCAGGCATGTACCGAACACATACTTTGAAAATAACCTCAGAAAGGAGATGGTGAGAAAAATGGTGGGAGGTTCAACCCAGCGCAAGTCTTGCCCTACAGGTGTCTCTCAGGGCCACGCCGCATTTCTGTTATGCTCATGCTTAGAAAGATAAACCTGGTCGTGAAAACCACCAAATTCAGACTTTCTGAAGGAGTGCATAGCATCACAGCTGGGCTCTATGCACTAGTGCTTCTCCTATTGATTCTGGAAACTCATCAAGCATGGGGTTGGGGAAGGCGGGTGGAGGGAAGGAGAGGGGGGGAGGGAGGCAGGTGTTGCTGTGTGGGGTATTGATTGGGTTTTGGTTTGGGTTTTGTTTTCGTAATTTAGTTTCGGTTACTTTGGTTTCGGTAACCTTTTGTAGTAACTTTGGGGAGATAACTTTGGGGTGGTAGCAGTTGGGGGTGGATGGAGGCCTTGAAGAGTCTTGATATCGAGGAGGGAGGTCAAAGCCGGTTGAGGTTGGATGGCTGAACGTCATCCACTCTGATTTGGTTTTTGCTGGTTTTTCTTAGGGCCTTCGGGCTTTCTCTAAGCTTTCTGCTGCCTAGACAACCCTCATCTCGCGAATTATGTGGTGGACGAGGTCGGCTTGTCGCGAGAAGATGGATGCACGCTACTACTTGCCATGGGTCCCGGTGAGACAATTCTTCTACTGCTCTTCTTCTTGCGAACTATGTGGTGGAGGAGGTTGGCTTGTCGCCAGAAGAAGAAGAGTAGAGATAGTTTGCAGGGATGCGCGACAGTAGGTAGGGCTATGAGTATAGGTGGCAAGAACAAGTTTAGCTATGACTGATGGTTTAAAACTCAGATTGGCCTCTTGGTTACTTTTGGGTGGACTATTTCTTTTCTTCTTCTTCGAGCTACGTGGTGGAGGAGGTCGGCTTGTCGAAGGAAGATGAAGAGTTGAAGTCTGCTTTTAAGCATTATGGGATTGGGTTAGGTTGTGTGGGTGCGGCTGCTGTTCTCATACTGCGAACTTTGTGGTGGAGGAGGTCGGCTCGTCAGGGGATGAAGAAGAGTAGGGGGTTGGAGGGAAGAGGGAGGATTGTTCCTTTGATTGTGTCACTGTTGTTGTTCTCGTTTGCTTTTGGTGGTCTTGAGAATGCCTTAGGATTCTGGGTACTTCTTACAACTCACTTTAGGCTTCTTTGATGCTGTTATATTCATGGATCTGCGGTTTTCCGATGTCAGAACGACGCTGGCCGGTGCTGGGGGGTTGCCCTGTAACCTGTTGATAGCAGGAGCGTGAGGCCTGGTAGAGAGATCTGGGGATGCCTTGGGGCGGGCGTTCCAAAGGAAAACCAAGGGTTGCTGTCGGGACGACGCTGGCCGGAGCTGGGGTGAGTCGTGTTGCCCTGTAACCTAGCAGGGTAGGGGCATGAGGCCTGGGCGAGCTCGGCAGGGAATAAGCCATTGTTAGATAATTTTAGAGGGTTTTGTAAGGGAGTCCTGGGGTTCTGAGCATTCGAAGGATTCTGTGGCTTTTGAGTAGCCTAGCAATAGGTGAGCAATGATCCAGGTTTCTCCTAAATTTTCCTGAACTCCTTTAATAGTTCTCTGTTTCTTCTAAGCCGAAGCCAGGTAATGGCCCTGGTATTTCCAACGATTTCCAACGATTTGTATAAATCTGCATGGGACGCTGGGCCCGGTTCCCAGCACGTGCTGCTCCCCACGAATAGACTGGAGCTTTTGTAAAAAAAAAAAAAAAAAAAGGGTGGGTAACGTTGGGGTGGGTAAACATCGGGGTGGGTAAAGATTGGGGTGGTAACTTTGGGGTGGTAACTTTGGGTTGGTAACCTTGGTTTGGTCACCTTGGTTTGGTGGTTGGGGTGGTGGCCAGGTCAGTAATTGGGTTGGTGGTTGGTTAGGTGGCAGGTCGGGGGGTGGTTTTAAGTGGTAGGTTTGGTGGAGGGTTTTAAGTGAAAGGTTTTGTGGTGGGTTTAAGTGGTAGGTTTAAGTGGTAGGTTTTGTTGTGGGTTTGGCGGATGGACTGTTTAGGTTGGTTCGGTTGGTTGGGTTTGTTCAACTTGGTTGGCTTGTTTGACTGTTGGTTTGTTTTTGGCTCTTTTTGTGCAAGTTTGTGTTTGACTTTTGTGTTAGTTGACTTTAGTTAACAACTTCAGGTCCTTGCTAGTTTGTCTTTTGAGTTCTTTTTTTTTTTTTTTTTTTTTTTAAATTTAACCCAGTGTCCTTGCTAGGAGATGTCATGCGATGGAAGTTACGTATTTTCCTCTTTAAACCTCCAGTACTTCCTAAAGGTGTGCTCGTTAACAAGCACAATTTTAGGAAACGTACGGGCCACTACAGGAGCGCCCAAATTCATCCGACTAGAAATGTTTCTACCTGTGTAGTGTCGTGTTCGGGTTCGGTGACCGAACCCGAACGAGCGCCGAAACTCTCCGAACGCGAACATAAAAATAAAAAAAAAATAATAAAAAAAAAAGTTGTCCAAAAAATCTGAAAACAATATATGTTATGTAAAATAATAATACAAGCAACTTTTGCCTTGAACGTATGGTCAAATTCGTAACCAAACTCGAGTTAAAGATCAAAAACCGAAACAAAAGTTTTTTTTTTTTTTTTTTTTAATATGTTCGGCCGAACGCGTTACCCGAACATGTTCGGACGTTCGGAAAAGCTCTGAACATGTTCGGTGTGCTACACAGGTTTCTACTCTATTTTTTTTCCGCGGCCGATAGCTGGGCCAAGTACTGATGGTTTAAACCACGAGTATACTGCCCAGCTATTGATGCCGAGACTAAATTTGCGGTCCAGCCATTTTGGTTCAGTACCCAAACCCCCCAAAAAATGCGGGCGTAAATGAGCTGCAACTTTTTTTTTCAAGTGGGGAAAGGTATTGGTGATGTTTAAGTAAGCTGTCTGCCAAACTACTGGGTGTCCTACCTCTCAGCGGAAAATCCTTCTCCCCCTCCCTACCGCCCTCCCAAAAATTATTCTCAGTTTGGGAAATTCGCTCGATTTCTCCGGTAAACTAACCAGCACCCAGGGGGGGGGCTACAACTTTTTCCTTTTTTTTTTTCTTTTTTTTTTGGGGGTGGGGGGCACAACTATTGGGTGCAGCTTTATGAGGCAGGTGGCCAGCCCTGTGTTCCTGTCGACAAACAGAGAAACGGGAGAGGTGGAGTTCGGACTCCGCAATAATATACCAGAAGATCGACCGCTTCTCCTTATTGGCAATCATCAGATTATGGGAGCTGAGCTGTTTCTCCTGACTGAAGAACTTTGGTGTGAAGCCAATATTCAAGTCAGAGGACTTGCACATCCACTCACAGGAATCGATCCATCTGAAGGCAACTTTGTAGCTATCGGCGATTTATTCCGCTTGTTTGGTGCTGTGCCGGTAAGCTACTACTTTTTTAATCCCTTCCCCCCCCCCCCCCCCCCCCCCCCCCCCCCCCCCCCCCCCCCCCCCCCCCCCCCCCCCCCCCCCCCCCCCCCCTCTCCCCCTCCCTCTCTCTCTCTCTCTCTCTCTCTCTCTCTCTCTCTCTCTCTCCTGGATGTGACTCAATCTCAGTGAAGGGGGGGACCGGCCAGTGGACAACAGTGAACTTTCTTTTTTTTTTTTTTTTTTTCAAACACGGACACGAATGGTGTCTTGGCAGCCTGTAGTGAGAGGAAAAGGCCCCCTAGCCCCCTGAGAGCTGCCGCACAAGCTGCACAAGCTTTTGAACATGCATGCGAACATGATGGCAGTGACGTAGACTGCGGCCATGCGTTGTTTGACTCACGATAAGCTTCGAGCAGAAGAGGCATGGCCTCCTTTTCCTCTTCTTCTTCTTCGTCGTCGTCGTCTCCGTCTTTCACTTTTTTTTTGGGGGGGGGGGATGAGGTTGTGAGCTCCCTCTGTCCCTACCCCAACATTTCTCCCTAGCGCACCCCCACCGACCACTCCCCCATCTTAAACCACCAGTACATCTGGAGAGTTTGAATGAGCCTCTCCAAAAAGTTAGGGGACTCGGGACAGGGTCCCCTGGGGGCGGGCGGAATTTTTTTTTTGCCCTTCAGGGCTGGGCCCACTGCCATCCCATGGTATGGGACCTTTTTTTTTTTTTTTTTGGTGTTGGCCCTTCGGACGCCCTGTCCGGAGCACCCCAAATTTTAGCAGAGGCTCAATAGGATTCTCAACTTGGCTATCGTCTTCACCACATAGAACACCCGGTCATTATCGCTGCATCTGGACCGAAAGTTGTGCCAAATACAGCTATAATGACCGGGCGTTCTATTCGGGTGAAGACGGTAGGAGCAGTACATCCAAGCCTCTTTTCTATGGGGGGGCAGATTCCCCCTGCACGCCAAGTTTTGCCGAAACACCAGCATGACTTCTTTTTTTTTTTTTTTTTGGTTTTTGTTGACGCCGCCAGCCATTTTGGTCCCCTTGACCCAAGCCTCCAATTTTTTTTTTCCCGCCCTCTCTCTCTTCCTGGCCCACAACACACTGACACAACGGGCCTGGCTCAACTACACACGCCTCTAAATGCATCTGGACCATACTTGCAAGCAGACGGACCGGACGAACGTCCGGTTCGGTCCGCTTTGCCACGTGTGGCACCCTCCCGGACCGGACCGGACCGGATGGGGCCGTTTTTTTTTCTTTTTTTCTTTTTTGGGGGGTGGGGGATAACTGGTCGTCGGGTGCACATTCGTGCGCCGCACGTGCGGAGCCGCCCGGACGTGCGGAACCGCCCGGACGGCGTCCGCTTGCAAGTATGATCTGGACCTCTTACTTATCCCTGTACATTCTGAATGTTGGCTAGGTACGAACGTACCTGCTCCATGTTTCAGGACGAAGACATGTAGAGTGTTGTGTTGTGGGGCGAGGCCCAACATCACACGTACATCACACTATTATGTAGCATGGCGTTTAATACGGTTTTTTTTTTTTTTTTTTTTTTTTTTCCTTTCTTTTTTGTCATCCACGTCTTCTCGTGTTGCCAAGTGTCAGGATGCATGCTGAGCCTTTTTTTTTTTTTATTACTTCTGTAAGCTACATTCTTCTCTCAATTTCACCTCACACTACCTACCTAGTACCTATCGCTGCTGAGCCTTCAGTTCGCTCTTTGCCGGAAAAAAAAAAAAAGGCTGCATTCTGAGCCACACGTCATGAACCAGCTGTCATTGTCTAGCATACCTATTGTTAAGGCATACTCACACTGGGACTTTTTGGAATGATCTCTGGACGTAACTGCGTCCAGATACATTCAAGACAGGTTGTAATTACAGTCAGATGCATGTAGGAAAGTCCTACCGTCTTCTCCCGAATACAGAATAGAACATACGGTTGTGATATCTGTATCTGGGTCGGTCTTGATACAACGATAATGAACCGAACTTTCTATTCAGTGGAAGATGGTAGTGCCAGTACGCCCTCGGTCTCCCTTTTTTTTTTTTTTTTTTTTTTTGCCCTGGGTCTCCCTTTTGTTTGTTTTTCTTTTTCTTTCTTTTTTTCTTTTTTGCCCTCGGTCTCCCTTGTTGTGTGTGTGTGGTGGCCCTTCTTCCCCAGGCTTGCCCTCCCTCCATTCATGCCTTAAGTAGGGCATATTCACAGGGCCACTTCCTGCGATGTATCTGACTGGAATTATCGCCAAGGTTGGTCAGAAAAATTCCTAGTGTGAATATGACCTACTTAGTGCCCTTCAAGAATGAAAAGGATTCCTCTTTGACAATTTTTCAATTTTGTGTCCAACATGCTGGGGCAAGTCTCAACAAAATTTTGACAATTTTCTGACAAATTTGACAAATTTTCTAGAGGCGGGATACTCAGGGATGGGGCGGTGGGGGTTTTCCTCGCTCTCCGAGAGGAGCCCTAATCTGGGCTCTTTTCTTTTTTTGAGTGTTGGATGTCAAGGGGGTGGAAGGGGGGTATGAATTGTTTTGTTTTTAAAGGGGCTAAAAAAGTTTAAAGTGGGGTGCCTTAGTGCGATTCGGTTATTTTCTTTTTTATCTTCAGTTCCGTGAGGAATTCTGATGTGACCCTCAAAGTTGTTTAAAAAAAGCCAACTGGGTGTAGCTCAGTTGGTAAGCCGTTCAAGCGGCACTCAGGAGGTTGTGGGTTCAATTCCCTTTGCCCCCACGATAGTGCCTGTGGCATGCTTCAAGTTGGCGTCTTACCTTCGAGACAGTCAGTTGGTACTCAGTGGGCAGAGCTCTGGTGTTGCAACGGGGAGGTTGTGGGTTCGACTTTGTCGGCCTACAATTTCCCCCGAGCACAATTGGTTGGTGTAGGTTGCACCCCACTTACTTGCCCCGATCCTGGCATAGTGCCCTTACAGACTAATGACGTCAATAGCTCAGTGGGTAGAGCTCTGATTTTTTTTTTTTTTTTTTTTTTTTAACAACGGGCCCAGTGTCCAAGACTGATATTCCAAATGATAATATTGAGGCCGGGGTCCTCACAATCTGCCCGGAGACACCGAACCAAAAACACCAATTGTGAATGATGAAAATGATACTGCCTCTTCTGCAAAACAAGATTACAACTATGTAGTATCACCTGATATTGTAACTTGGAAGTCCTGAGTTCAACTCCATACTATGCGCATTGGTCATGTCTATATATATACTGTTTGTCAGATCAGCTAGGGATGATCTTGTGGACGGATTTGGGTGGGGACATGTGCCTTTCCTGCCGGAGAGTTGATGTGGGATGGATGCTACTCTTTCGGCCAGGGGAGTGGTAAGGGGCTGTTTGGGTGCATGGTGATACCGTGGCAGTCCTATGGTGGGTAGGGGTGCCTTGTAGGGAAACCAATGTCGAATCAAGAGGTGTGTCCTACTCTCAACGCCAGTAGACCCATTCTGGGAATGTGGGCTGTCAGAGGTGGTCGGGGGTAGTTGATGAGGGTCCAGGTCTCCACCATCACCACTACCGTCTTCCCCCGAACATAACGCACCCTAAAAATGAATGTATACAAGCTATATTTCCGGCCAGATACCGCCAAAATAAGGGTGCGTTGTGTTCGGGGGAAGACGGTAGTCGACTCTCCCTAGCAAACAGACATAAGCAAGGCTGATTAGTAGCAGAAAGAAACCACATACATCTATACAGACTATGATATCACACTAGCTCACATAACAACCAGCATATTCAACAACCAGCAGTAGCCATATATGAACCGCGCCGTGCTGGGTTGGTGCTTAGAGGTAGGGGGCTCATGGGTTAGACGTCGGTTAGCCGACTATTAGACACTGCCTATGGGTGCCCTCACTGCTCACGGGACTAGTTGAGAACTTTGCGCCTATAGCTCCCGAGTTACCCATATAACGAGGCTTGTACGCTAGTTGAGCCCTCAACTGGGGCTGAATGGGGGAGCTCATTCATCGTCAGTGCCCGCGTCCGCTGTCTGGTCAGGTTGCTCCAGTAGAAATGGAGTGGGGGTGCGCCAGGAGATAAATCAAGAGGAGTGGTAGGATGTTCCTCACATGAGGTAAGATAGAAATGGAGTGGGGGTACAGTGGTCGGATGGGAGTCTCGTGAGTATGTGTGAAAAAAAAAAAAAAAAAAAAAAGCAAGAAAAAAGTTGTTTGTAACTTTGTATTGCAATTCTACACAACATATTTTGTTTCCGGATTTTTTTGGATTTTTTTTTTTTTGGCGCTGGGGCTGCCCGGAGGTCATGCACGGCACGCGGGCGTGTATCCGGACAAAATTTGGGTGCCCGGGCTCCCGGGAAAACAGCCTAGCAAATTTTGACAATTTTTGACAATTTTTGACAATTGTTTTGACAATTGTTTTGATAATTGTTTTGATAATTGTTTTGATAATTGTTTTGGCAATTTAACAATTGTAGACATTTTTTGTGTGCAGTATTATGTGGGAAAATCTTGTCACATCAGTCTCTGCCTGTCATTTCTTACAGCTTGGGCTGATTTTTTTTTTTTTTTTTTTTTTTTTTTTTTTTTTGGTGGCAATGGTGGGGGGGAGAAAGGGGTTCATTTCCGGCAGCCTCCGCTGATCTTTTCCTTTTCTTTTCTTTTTTACTGCTGATCGGTGGGGGGAAGGGGTTCATTTCTGACAGCCTCTGCTGATCTTTTCCTTTTCTTTTCTTTTCTTACGGCTGATCTTTTCAGTCTACAGGGAGCAATTTGTACAAATTACTTGCTAGAAAGGAGGTGGCTCTCCTTTACCCAGGAGGAGTGCGAGAGGCTTTTAAAAGGAGGGTACGTGTTGTGTCTGTCAAAGTCTGAAAAAAAAAGGCTGCATTCCAGTTACGAATCTTACAGTTTTTTATATTTCCCCCCCCCCCCTTATTGGAAACACCAGTACCCAGGTGCCAATCTCAGTGTGGTGCGTGGAGAACCACCAAGTTTTTTTTTTTTTTTTTTTTTTTTTTTGACGAACCACCAAGGTTTTAWTCTGGCCCGRGGATGGCTCCACTTTTTCTGTTTTTTTTTTTTGTTTTTTTTTTKTCAGTGTGTGTGTATGTGTGTGTTTTGTCGTATTCTCTATACACAGCTCCACACAAAGAAAGCGCATCATGACTGCGGCGTGAATACCTTTCTCGGCCTTCAGACAGTGTCCCAGTATGCATTTGACTGATGGATATGGCTGTTGCCACGTGACCCAGTGTTAGCGGTCACCTCCCTTGAGAGAGAAAAGTGGTCGGCTTTACTCACACACCAACCTTGCCATCCTAGCAGACTGTCAGTCCAAATCCCTACAAGAGCACCGCTACGTCTGAGGCACTACCGTCTTCACCCGAATAGAATGCCTGGTCATTATCACTGTATCTAGTCTGGAAGTTGCACCAAATACACAGCTACAATGACTGGGTGTTCTATTGGGGTGAAGACGGTAGTCTGTCACAGCATGGCAAAGCCCACTCTACATACCCGAACAAACTCGTTTCTTTTCTTTTTTTTTCTTTTCAGCCCCGAACAAACTCGTTTCTTTTCTTTTTTTTTCTTTTCTATCCAGTGGCATGGCTCCTACCACGGTCATGACCGAAACCACATCGGCCCGCCCGAGCGGAGAGCTAGCACAACCGTGTTATGTGCTGTGTGCTCTGTGTTACTGTGTGCTTTGCGTTGTGTGTTGATAGTGTTTTTGTGTTCTGTATTTTATGTTTTGTGTTGTATGTTGTGTTGTGTTGTATGGTGTGTGGTGTGTGTTGTCGGTTGTGTGTTGTGTGGTGTCAGGTGTGTACTATGTGGTGTGTGGTGTTCTGTGTGTTGTGTGTTGTGTGTTGTGTGTTGTGTGTGGTGTGTGGTGTGTGGTGTGSGGTGTGTGGTGTGTGGTGTGTGGTGTGTTGTGTTGTGTGTTGTGTGTTGTGTGTTGTGTGTTGAGTGTTGTCTTTTGTGGTGTGCTTCGTAGATTGTGGTGCGTGGTGTGCAGTGTGTTCTGTGTGTATGTGTGTATGTGTGTGTGCATGTGTGTGTATGTGTGTATGTGTGCGTGGTATGTGTGTGCATGTGTGCGTGTGTGTGTGTGTGTGTGTGTGTGTGTGTGTGTGTGGAGATGTGTGTGAAACGCATGTAGGTTATCCTTGAGTGCAAGACTGAGAAAAAAACGAGGATGGAAAAAAAAACAATCACAAGGTTAATGACGGACTGTTTCATTGGACTTTCACCAACTGATCATCAGGAGGGTGAACCCTCGACAATCTTCAGAATCCCCATGTTGATGATCTGAGTCGTGAACTCTTTTTAAGTTTTATCCTCTGTTGAAAGTGGACGGTGGCACCGCAAGTAACAGGCAGCAAGGGGAACAAGGCAGCAAGGTAACAAATGCAGCGAACCGCGAGGCAGCGCTGACAAAGCAGCCCAACTACACCGCACACAAGCGCACCACATGGAAAGACAAGGCAAACGGAACAAGGCAGCGGGGCAATAATGCAGCGGAGCGCAAGGCAGCAGCACTACCAATGAAGGCAAACTGCACGGCAAACAGGCAAGCTGCAATGAAGATAATGCAAGTGGGATTGGCAGCAAGGAAGGCAGAGGAGCGCTGACAAGGCATTCAAGACAGACTGTGATAGTCTGGCTTCCAACCTTTACAACAACCTGGACTTCAAAAAAAAAAAAAAAAAAAAAAAAAAACGCAATCCATCAGTTACTCAAACCACAAGTAGAGGACACCAGCACAGACTATTGGTTCCCGTCAACCTTGGAGCCAAAAAGCCACTCCGATGAACGCCAGTCATCACCCATGGAACATGCACCCACAGACATCCCGAACAGACCTTGCCAAACAAACCAGTACCGACTGTTTGGCACAATTTGAAGGTGCTCGCGAATGGTCCCAGCCTTGTGGAGATTGGCTTGTCACCTACTCCGAAAATTTCACGCCTCGGGCCTACCGGACCACAATCGCTGGCGGCGTCAGCCACAAAAGGAAAGAAGTGCGCCGCTGGTGGTTCGGAAAAGCTTGGCGTGCAATGCAGCGCCTCCAGGCCTGGGTCGGGTGTACTGGTGGTGTAAAGGTGCTCGCGTACACACATCGTAAGCACTTGGAGGAAGAAGGAAGGAAGATATACATACACATGTTTGTGTTTGTGTGTGTGTGTGTGTGTGTGTGTGTGTGTGTGTGTGTGTGTGTGTGTGTGTGTGTGTGAGAGAGAGAGAGAGAGAGAGAGAGAGAGAGAGAGAGAGAGAGAGAGAGAGAGAGAGAGAGAGAGAGTGCCACGTTGTGTGCCTGAGTTGCATCTTTGGAACAAAATTGGGCTTTTGAAAAAATAGTTTTCTTTTCTTTTTTTTCTTTTTTTTCGAAGAAAAGCCCTTGCGACATCCCTCTATCCTGGCGGTGGTAAGAGAACCGTCAGAATTGAGGGCTTATCTGTCGGGCTGCTCCATCTATTGGTGGGGAGGGGAGCGGCACCTACTGGAAACCGGGTCCAGCGTCCCATTGATACAACTTACAATACAGATATGATACAAATGTTGGCGTTTGTTGTTTCGTAGGCTGTGGTGATACGTGATACGTGTCTCTTCCTGGGGCTCTGTTGTCCCTTGGAGCTGCTATTTTCCCCTTCTCTTCATGGAGTACCTCCTTTACTATTAGCCCAGCCCTAGTTTTGCAGCCCATCTGAAATGAGGGAGTCCTGTTCTGCAACTCCTCTGTGCAATGTTACTATGAGGTGTCCCTTTGAAACCCTTTAAGCCCCTAAACCCTTAAACCCTCTCTGTGTCCTTGGAGAACCGAAAAACCACAGAATCGATAAACCTTGGCTCTGTGGGATGATATGATACCCAGTATCCCCCAGTTTCTTGTTGCTTTGTCTGTCACCCCCTTTTCAGATCCTCCACATCAGCAGGTCGTCGTGCTGCCCCATCTTTTCTGCCTGCCAATGAGCATCCTCAGCTAACTTTGTGGAAGGGTCTGTACCGGAACAGTGCCTGTAGAAGTCGCGTTGTCCTCCCTTGAACGGTGTATCTCGCCCTCTAGTTTTCTAAAATTTTAAAGTGGTGTATAACTTGTATCATAGTTTTTGTAATTTTGTGCTTAATTTCTATCATATTTTAGTAATATAATTTTTTATTTTTTTTTTCTAAATGTCTATTGTGTTGTATAACTTGTATCATATTTTTGATAATTTTTCTTAATTTCTATTGTGGTAGTAAAGAACCAGACTGACGGTCCCCAAAATGGACAAGGAGTCAGGACCATAAGGACCTGTTTAATTAAAAAGAAGGAAAAAAGGAAAAAATTTCGATATGCCCCTGAAAGGCTGATTAATTTGCGCGGCGTGCCCCTCCTGTCGGCCGACTTACCCTGTCGTGCCCCTGGGGCCTCTGAACTTTCCTGCAGGCCCCCGTCATTGAGGGGCGCAACTTTCCAGCATGCCCCTGTGGCGGTTGGTGTGTGTGTGTGTGTTTGTATACATTCATGACGATGGGGGTGTCATGTCCCAGGCGAAGAAGGTAATGCCCGTGCTTGTTCCACTGCAATTTTTGAGACGTCACTGGCTTTGGCCGTTCCGAGCGAGCTCGAGTCTTGCTTACACTAGGACTTTTTATCCTAGTTTCTGGATGTGATTGCAGTCAGATTCATCCAGTTTTCGGCCGCGATTGTTGTCAGATGCATTCAGGAAAGTGCTAGCGCGAGAGTGCTCCTCTAAATCTTGCTTGTCTTCATTTTGTGGCTGGCATGGTGCCGGACAAACAGGGGGAGAGGAATATGGTGCTGTGGCCAGAGCAACCGGAGTTTGTGAGAATGGCGATCCGACATGGTGCCACCATTCTTCCTTTCGCCGGTATTGGTGGCGATGATGCTTTTGACTTTGTATTCGATACCGACGAAGTGGCCAAACTTCCCTTTATAGGAGAAAACATGGCGAGGGATGCAAGGAAGATTCAAGTAGTAAGGTATGGTACCCGATCTCCAGAAAATACACTCAAATCATTCTACAGGGACGCTGGACCCGTTTTCCAGCAGGTGCAGCTCCCCACTAATAGATGGAGCCTTCGATGATGGGACCAAAAAAAAAAAAGAAAAAAAAAGAAAAAAAAAAAGGTATGATGTCTGGTAACGGGCCTGGCTCCGCCACTCACCACATGCAGAAAAGACAAAAAATCACGAGCAGAAAAGACAAAAAATATGGTGGTGCATCTTCCCATGTTCTAGCTGAGGATTCATTCTGATTTTGCACATTTGGTGAGTTAGCGGAGCAAGGCCCAACAACTCCCTTGAATTCATTCCCTTTTGCTTGTTTTTATTTTAAGCAAAGAGAAGAAGAGCTGGGGGAAAGGGGGGGGGGGGGGGGGGGGGGGGGGGGGGGGGGGGGAAGGGGGGGGGAGTGGAAAGGGGATGTGGTAGTACATGCTTTTACACTGCTTTTACTCGTTACTTCCTGTAGGAAAATGGTAACAAGTTTTTTTTTTTTTTTCGAAGTCTTGTATTGCCTTTTAACAAGTCCTTCGGGGGATCTGTTAAAATTGGAGCGATACGGAGAAGATTAGCATGGCCCCTGCTCAAGGATGACATCATGACATGCATGAATCGAGAAATGGTCCAATTTTATTTTATTTTATTTTTTTCTTTAAGAATGAAAGAAAAAAGAAAAAAACAAGTGATAATAAAATACTTATAGTAGTAAAAAAGAAAAGAAAAGAAATGCACTCCTTTTAGGTACACAGTGAAAACGTTGAATGTTCAGGAAAAAACAAAAACGACTCAAAAAAAAAAAAAAAAAAAAAAAAGGTTTGCTTTTTTGCGCACACCAGCTGTGTTCTTTATGCATATTGTCCTAATGTTCCAAATCTTCTGCTGATCTACCTTCCCTCGTGTTTCCGTACATGTCTTCTTCTTCTTCTTCTTCTTCTTCTTCTTCTTCTTCTTCTTCTTCTTCTTCTTCTTCTATTTATTTTTTCTTCTATTTCTTCTTTATTCTTCTTCTTCTTTATTTATTTATTTTTATTTTTTTTCAAGTTTTGTCATATACCCACCTTTTTTTTTTTTTTTTCAATACCATGGTGGCACCAGAATGTTACGCTAAGGAGGTACTGAGCCTTGATGCAGAACACCAAAAAGTTTTTATTAAAAAAAAAAAAGTTGAAAACTTAAAAGTTAGAAAAAGTGATTAAACCGTAAAAAAAAAAAAAAAAAAACTGGTTATCCGTTAAAATTTGAACTATAATCCAGCGGTCTAGCTCAGTTGGTAAGGCACGCAAGTGGCATTCAGGAGGTCTTGGGTTCAATCCCCATTGGCCTCGTGCACCTTCCTGGGCAAGCTTGGCGCCCGCCACCCAGAGATATGCCGTTGGTCCCCCCGAGTGGCATTGAGCAGAGACTGCTGATGTTAATAAGGGGAGGGGACCGGAGGGGAGGCACAGTGACTGGCCCATCAAAGAAGCTCGGTCCTGATGCTACCGGCTGACCCCTGGCCGGTATCGCCCACCTGCTGTAGCAGGTATCGCACCTGCTGGTGGGTGCAGCTCCCGCATGTTCCCTCATTGGAGGCTTGAGCAAGGATGTGGCTGCTACGGGGTTCCCCGTCATACATACTATAATGACAATAAAAAAGGCCTGAAAGGCCGTCCTGTCCAGATTTGACAGGTAATTGAATTGGTTGGGCTTAAAGAATTAGGGTTTTTTAAAAAATTAAAAAAATTGAACGATACAGAGAAGGCATACTAGCATGGCCCCTGCGGAAGGATGGCATGCATGAATTCGAGAAACGGTCCAAATTATTTAAAAAAAAATGATTTCTAAAATTGAAAACGAAAATTGTAAATTAATAAAACAGTTATTAAAACTACAGTATTATTACTATTATATCTTTCTCAACCTTCTTTTTTTGCTCACTAAGAACGAGTGTAGTATTTGTTCTGACTTCTGATCAGTTTAACAACTTTAATTATTTTGATATCATAATAATATATCATCCATGTGTTACCAGCCGGGAGGCCCGGGTTGCCCCAGATTGGCCCGGGTGGCCCAGCCGGGCGAGCTCTGGGCAAAGTCCTGGTCAAGGTCGCGGGCAGTCCCAGCACAAAAAAAAAAAAAAAAAAAATCTACAAAAAAAACTAATTGCAAACGAAACATCTTTTGCCTGAGGACGACCACGAAATCCGCAATGGAATCCGAAATAAAAAGGTAAAAATGAAATACCAAATTATATCATACCCCTTTATGCCCCCTTTACGCCCTTCTTTCGAACCCTGCTTATACCCCATAGACACTCTTTGGTGACATATCACCAAACTCAAAGAAGATGAGGTGGGATATGGGCACGTCTCTGTGGGTGCAAAATTTCCTCACTGCTAAAAAGAAAAAAAGGAAAAATTGACCCCCTTTTTGGTGTCGCCCGGGTACCCCGGGCAGGTCACCCCCGTGCAAAGTTCGCCCGGGTCGCCCGGGCCAGGCGACTCTGGTAACATAGATCTCATCCCTACGTTTTCCAGATTGTGCGCCAGTAAAATGCTGGCCAACAGTGTTTGTGTCTTAAAAAAAAAAAAAAAAAAAAAAAAACAGTAAATAGTAAATACTGCTTGAAAGCCTTACAAATATTTTCATGTTTATCTCTTCGCTTTCTTCACAATGTTGAGTCATTTTGACCTTTTTCTTTTTTTTTGAGGGGGGGCTAGGCTACCAGAGTGGCCCGGGGTCACTTGCCTGGCCGCGTCAATATATATATATATATATATATATACTCCTGATGAGTCGGTGAAACTCCGACGAAACAGTTTGTCACAGCCCCTCGTTTGTTGTCCTCTTCTCCCTCTCTGCCTACGGTTTACCGTCGGCAGTTCTATTTGACGATATATATATAGGGTTACCTGACCGAACGTTCGGGGGCCCCCGGGCTGGCCCCCGAACGTTCGGGCGTTCGGGGTCCCTTTCGGGGGCCGAACACCTCCAGGTTCGGCCCCCGCCAAAAAAAAATTCGGGACCTAAAAATAAGTTTTTTTTCTGAATTTTTTTTCTGAGTTCTCTATGATGTAACCTACACACCTATAAATTTTGAAGCCATTCTGCTAAGCCAAAAAAACATTAAAAATCGTCAAAGATGGGGTGTCAAAACGTGCTTGCGCACTCACTATTTTGTTTTTTTCCACTTTTAACTTTTTGTTTTCACTTTATTTCGGGGCCTAAACAATTTTATTAGTTTTTGAATTTTTTTTAATCAGTTATTGATTATGTAACATACATATCTGTAAATTTTCAGGGCATTTGTCAATGCCAAAAAATAATTAAAAATCGGCAAAGATGGTGGTGTCGAAAAGGTGCTGGCACACTCACTCATTTTAATTCTCTTTTTATTTTTTCTTATTTTTATCATAGTGTTTATTTCTGTATTTGATTCTTAATTCAAATTTGGTAAAGAATTTGGATGTAGTGCCCAGGTAAATGTCGTTTAGTTTATTTTTCTCCATAACATATGTTTTTTTCGGAATTTATTGAAAACTTTTTTTTTTTTTTTTTTTGGTCCATGTTCGACCCGAACGGCCGAACGCCTTCCGAAGGGGTCCCGTACGTTCGGGCGTTCGGGTTCGGGCGTTCGGACCGTCCCGAACGCCGGCAACCCTGTATATATATATATATATTTTTTTTTGAAATTTGGTGTAGAATTTCGATGTAACCCTGAGGCAAAAGTTGTTCAGTTCATATTACTGCATAACACAGTTTTTTTTTTTTGATTTGTTTCAAATTTTTGATTTTTTTTTTTTTTTTTTTTT